TCTTGACACTGTGCAAGGGAGGGACTTGTTGCGGGGTGCTTTACCAAAACGCAAGTCCGGTTTAAGCTCTTCACGCTTTGCTGCATGGCCTGTGAGAAATGGGTGAATTGCTCACACGCGCACACTGTTTGTTTTTCCAGGTGCTAAAAGGACTGTTAATTATACATGATTGGTGACATCGTAGAAACTAAACAATGCCAACTAAAAGATCCCATGGATTTGTTTCGTTCTGGGCAAGTTGTAAAAATATGTGCCCCTATGGTCCGCTATTCAAAGTAAGTAACTGTCACATCAACTGCGTTTTCGGTGTATTTTGTCTGCAGAAGTTTATCTTGACTGTAAAACCAGGGACGATTGCCTTTTTCTCTTTTGATTATTTAAGACAGAGAGAGATGTGGGACATGTTTTATCTTGTGACTATACTTGGACATGCCCACAGTACTGCTTGTCAGAACAGCATTTTAGAATAGCTAATCAGAAAAATGTCTTTACTATTTATCTCTTAATTTTCATGTATCTGCAGGTTGGCTTTCAGAACCTTGGTTAGGAAATACAGTTGCGATTTGTGTTACACACCAATGATAGTGGCAGCTGATTTTGTGAGATCTGCAAAAGCTAGAGACAGCGAATTCACAACAAACAAAGGTAATTTCTCTTAAGAAACCATTTCCTTGTCAGAATGTTTTGTGAGGTGATAAACCAAATTGGCCATGTGAATGAAGTCTGTCACACAACTTGACATCAGTTAACAATTTTGGTATACCGTATCTGACTGTAAAACTATAAAAACTATAGTTTTATATATAAAACTATAGAAATATTCTAGGTGAGAGTAAGCACGTTCCAGTGATAGTGGAATGACAGTCAAATGAAATAGTGGAAAACCTTGTCTCCACCTGAAATCAAGGCCTCCAGACTGATTTAGATGTCTGGTGGGTTGACCACACGTAGCTGGCCAGCTATGCACCCACACAGCTGCTTGCTTGTTCCTCCTCCACCCCGCCAGCAGCACAGGGAGAGAACAGGAAGAGCAAAAAGCAAGAAAAACTCATGGGTCAAGGTAAAGGCAGCTTAATAAGTGAAGGAGAGAAGGAGAAAAAAACAAGTGATGCAAAGGCCGTCACTTCCCACCTCACACCAGCAGACCAATGCCCAGCCAGTCTCCAAAGCAGCGGCCACCCTAGAACATTTCCATATCCCAACCCACTTTCTTCTTCCCCTACCACTCCAGTTTTATTGCTGAGCTTGATGTTATACGGTATGGAATATTCCTTGGGTCAGCTGTCCTGGCTGTGTTCACTCCCAGTTTCTTTCCCACCCCAATCTACTAGCTGGGGGCAGGGGGAGGCAGAGTGAGAAAAAGAGAAAGTTTTGACACTGTGCAAGTACTGTGCAGCAATAGCCAAAACATTGATGCATTATTAACACTGTTTTTGTCACAAAATCCGAAACACAGCACCATACAGGCTGCTATAAATAAACTTTAAATAAATTTAGAAATTAACTCCATCCCAGCCAGACCCAGTACGAGATGGTAGTAAGATTCTTCTCCCAGCAATTGCTGTTTCTTGTGTGTTTCAGAGATGAACACTTAACTCATTGCTGAGAAAAGTTTTCTGGTCTCTAACAAAAATAAAAGCGCTGCTAAAGGTGAAAAAATTAATAGACCATACAGTGGAATCAAGGATTGATAAAAGCAGCAGGGTTTCAAATTAGCTGTAGTGGAAGATGGAAGGGGCTGTTGGTTGAGATAATGAGAAGGTGATAAGAAGAGGCCGGAAGTTGAGGCAGAGGCATGGCTAGGGTTGGTGGGGAGAAGCAAGGCTTCAGGCATGGTACAGAAACCTAACCAGAACACATACAAAAAGAAGGAGTATAAGGAGTTGTACAGAGTCCTGGCTGTAAAGCAAAAGAGAAAAGTGGTATGAAATATGTGGGAAGAGGTGGCAGTGACGATACAGATATGCGGGCATGAAGCGGCTGCAGTGGAAGAGGGTAACAAGGAACACACAAGCATAGGCTGCAACTGGAGGAATCGAGAGCGCTGCTAACGTGCTAGTAAGATCAGCGTGTAGGATCTATGAAGAGTAATGATTTAATCTATTCAGACCACTGAACTGGTGGTTTCATAATGTACATATAATAGCAGGGGAAGTGTATTTCATTATTTTAGCACTGGCTGTTTACTATGGTGCACTATTCAAATAGAAGAGAGCAGTTACAGAGAAAAGTCACATTGGAAAGCACAGGTAGAATCTCTTAATGGAATTCAACTTCAAAAAAGCATGAATAATTCTTTGTTTGTAAAAATAAATGAGTAAGAACATAACTGACAATGTATATGGCTCAAAGTTCAACAGAGCCACTAGTTTGCCCCCTTTGAATTTACTTCTGATCTACGCAATGTCCTGTGGCATTGAAATTCCACAGGTCAGGTATGTAGTGTATTCTGGGGGGTGCAGGGACAGGGAAAGAAAAACATTCTGCTTTATGCTATAACTTTGCTGCCTGATAACAAGGGGTACAAAATGAAATGTTCTAGTGTTGTAAACAATATCTTTTCCCTATTCACCTCTTTCATGCTGGCCCTAATTTTATAGGTCTCTAAGACAGCTTTGCCAAGATTATAGTATTTACATTACTAGCATTTATGCTTTTAAGAAGTAGCTCCACAACACGTTGTGAAATTTTACTGTGGTTTTATGTTTAATTTCCTGGCTGTTTGGGGATTTTGTCTTCTAATTAGTGGCATAGCTTTGGAGCCTACAACTGCAGTTTCTGCTTTCTATTTTCTTTGGCATTGATATTTCGTTGGTTTGTATTTCTCAGATAGAGGTAGATGTTCTTTGTGGCTGCTGCTAAAAATTTAATATGGCTAGAGTTAGTATTTTTATTACTTAATGCTCGACCAAAAAACTAGGAGCGTGGGTTTATTCCAAAATATTAGTTGTAACTATGTAAATCTCTTCAGCTAGACCACTGTATTAAATGGACACTGTTTTGAAAATATGCAAGTGATTTTTTTTTTTTGCTTGCTTGCTGGATTTCTAGGTAACTTCTAGCAGTGTCTCAGCTTGATTGAGAGGGTACTGCTGCCCTTTCTGACTTAAACTCCACTACTTCAGAAACTACTTATTTTCCACTAAAATAGAAAAATCTTCAGAGGACTCATGGTCTTCTCAGTACCAGAAGTGCACTTGCTTTGTGCATTTGTTGGACCATCTCTTCCCATAAGTGCTCACATATCCCCCTTCCTCTTAACTGCAGCAATTGTTTATATGAAAGGTGAGCGATAAGACTGTTTGAGAGATTTTTAGATGCCTTTAATGTAACGCAGTAGCTGTAAAAGAGGAGAGCATGTTCCAATGACCATCTGGCTCTGCAGGGGCCTAGTAAATCACAAGTAGTTCAGCTGACCCAGTGAGGAGCACTGACACTTTGGTTTCCCACTTGAGACAAAGCTGCTAAAGCTGCCTCTGCCCGTGTATTCTCATTCCAACTCTGCATATCGCATTGTGGATAAAAACCAGCCGTGTTGGCACAGAAGAGGAAAAAGATGGGATGGGATAAGGAAGGGCAAAGCTTGTGGGTTTTTTAGCTCCTTTCTGAAGGGTTGGTTCTGTAAGAAAGTTTCCCACCTGGCAAGACAGACAGCCATGTCAGCCCAGCAAAGGGGCAGCATGCAGACAAGAAGGGGCAGGCTAGGAGGGGAAGCATGAAGGCTGCTGAAAAATAGAGAATACTGAGTTTCATATATCATCTTTGTGAAAGATAAACATCTGACCAGTTTCAGTCAGAAAAAGTATATGTTGAGTCTGTGACTGCCTAGGACAATTATGTTTGTCTGAATTTCCACCTCTCTTGATAGACATACTCATTTAGTAACCACCGGTCAGCCACCTTTATTTGTGATCTAGGGCTTGCAGAATCACAAAATAGTTGAGTTTGGAAGGACCTCTGTAGGTCACATTATCCAGCCCCCCAGCTCAAACAGGGTCACGTAGAGCCAGTTGCCCAGGGCCATGGCCCGACAGCTTTTCAATATATGAAAAACATTAAAAATTTATAATTTCTTCTTGTTATTTTCTGGGTTTTTTTAAATCTCTAAATATCTTTTCATTGGAGTAGGTGATCATCCGTTGATTGTTCAGTTTGCTGCTAAAGAAGCACAGGTTTTGTGTGATGCTGCCCGTATCGTCTGTCCTTTTGCAGATGGAATAGACCTAAACTGTGGCTGTCCTCAGAGGTAAAGTTTTGAAAAATCTGGGTAAATATGATGAAATAATTTGGGAATAAAGAATGCTGGTCTTCATTTTCCCAGTAATTTTTGTCTTAACTTAAAAATAGACTTTGAGAGAGAAACAGCTTTTTAATCTGTCAAATGTTTATGTGGCAAGACACTGTTCTGAATGTTCCAAGATGCCTGCCACCATGGTGGGACTGGGAAAACCAGGTGTATTGGCCAACTTGCCTTTTTTCATTTCTGAGATATTGAGTGTTGGCTCGGAAGTGAAGTGTCCATCCCTTCTCAACAGCTGTTAAATAGGCATTACCAAAAAGAGCTTGCTGCAGATAATTTGGAGAGCGTTTTGAGAAATGTGGGAATTCCCAAAATAATGGGCAAGTCTCTCATGTCTCAGACTTCTGCAAGTGAAGGATAGTCTCTAAAATATAATTATACAAATTATATTATTCAGGAAGTGCCAAAAAGAATTTCTTCCATCTTATTAGGTTTATAAGTACAGTGAATTAGTGATCTTCTTCTCACTTAAATTGATAAAGATTTTGTCTTGACAGTGAAACAAGGTAGTAATGCACAAATTAGGATTCTTGCTAACTGGTTCAATTGAGAACCTTTTATTACATGCTTGTCAGGCAGTCTTATTCTAAGTGAAGACCTCAAAAATAAGTGTAGGAAAGCAAAAGATAATACTATGGTGCAAGTATTTGATTCGTCTATTCTAATTAGGTTGTCCCGACTTAAAATTATAGTATTTGAGAAAACACTTTTCTGGAGAGATCTGAGACTTTGGAATGGAAGCGTATTTTTTTCTTAAGCTAATTACAGTTAAGTGTGCCAAACTGTAAGTTCCTTTTAGGCCAAACATATATGCTTACATTTGAATCCTTTGTTTCTTGTGCATGCTGGTTTCAAAATAACAAAACTTTGTGCACTTAATCTGCCTTTATAAGAAAAATTGTTTAAGAAAAAAAACTTCTGCTGTTAAGTGGAAGCAAGGGTTATTTCCTGCCAATCAAAACAAAGTGTTTTGCAGTTGAGGGAAAACAGGGTATTACTGAAATCACATCCTTACTTGCACTTCAAAAATCTTCCTTTTCAATCCAAAGTTATTTTCTGTTTAGAAGAAATCTGTGACCCAATGGAAGGGGAAACATCAAACTGTTTATTTTATGTATGATCTAAACCATCGTTGATTAAATGTTAATTTATCTTCCTTGCGTGTCCATTTTGTGGACAAAAAATTGAACTGGAAGAGATTAGTAACTTGTCCAAAGTTCTAACAGCACAACGGAGACTGAACCAGGATCTAAAAGCTGGTGCCAAACTGCAGACAAATCATTGATCTACAGCCAGTACTATCTCTGTTTACTCAACCACACATTCTAAAGGTTCTAAAGAAAGAAGCTGATGTATTGGACTGAAATTGATCTGCATTTTTTCAAATATAGAATACAAATGTTCTTTTGCTTTTAAAGATGGGCGATGGCAGAAGGTTATGGTGCTTGCTTAATAAATAAACCAGAGCTTATTCGAGATATGGTGAGACATGTACGGAATCAGATCGACAACCCTACGTTTTCAGTATCTATTAAAATAAGGTAGGTCTAACTTAAGTGCTGTTTGTGGTACATGGGAAAATACTTTTAATTTTTTTTAAAGAAACGTGTTAGTGTAATAGTTACACTATAATATATGTAATTCTGTTAATGTAATATTACACATTATAATAATTTCCTTACATGTAAAGACTGCTGAGATTTTTTGACCCCAGGTGGTGAAAGAATATCTGGGGCAAGTAATCCCAAGTTTAGATAGTAGACCCATCACAGCCTTTGACTACTTAACCAGATAACATACTGGATGCTAGAGTTTTCTTGCAATCCAAACAACATGAAAGTACAAGTTAAAAGGTCTAGGGTTCCATAAAAGAAAAGCGGTGCATAGTCTGTGTCATCACAAAGATTTACTTCGTGAGTTGTTGGAGGCCAGAGCCACAGTTGCTGTTGGCTGTAAAGTGAAGGGTAACAAAACTGGGAACTGGTCCCCACAGCTGCTGTAAGGAACACATCCTGCTTCCCTTTATCGCTTTCTAAACTTCTGTAAACTGTTGCTTTGCATTGCTTTGTACCACTTTGTCCTCTGTTTACCCACACTTCCCTTGTGACTTTTGCATATTTGTCAGTTAAGTTTCAACTCGGTTTGCAATCCTTCAGCAAAGGGGAACTAGTATGAATGGGATTTTTTTTTACCCACAAAATATGCAAAGTAATTATGTTTATTTTAGAATCTTTTGGGCACCCTGGCTCAATCTCTATAAAATTTACCATGTGTGTTTCAGAGATGTGATATAATTGGGAAACGCTAAATTAAATAGTGGTTTCAAGACATTAAACTCATATGTCTTTATTAAAAAAAAAAAACCTCTATCTTCCAACAGTAATATTTTCTTTATTTATACTGTTACACAAATCTGTGGTAACTCCTCCTTAGGGAGGTGGGCTTCTCATAGAGTTCAGGTAACTTACTATCTAATGTTTTCATTCCTTGAAATTTTAGGATTCATGAGGACTTAAAAAGAACCGTTGACCTGTGTCAAAAAGCTGAAGCAACTGGAGTTTCGTGGATTACAGTACACGGGAGAAGTGTAGAAGAAAGACATCAGCCTGTACATTATGATGCAATTAAAATAATTAAACAAAGCATGTCTATACCTATTGTGGCTAATGGAGACATTAAAACTTTAAAAGATGTTGAAAATGTTCATCACTTGACAGGAGCAGATGGTAAGATTAAATATACTCTATTTTCTAAGTAAACTTACAAATCAGATTTCAAAGTATTTATTTTGGCTGTAAGTAGGACATGATTTGAGTGCTTTTCACTCTTTGAGAAGACAAATGAAAAAGGATGTTTTAGATGCCTTATAAACAGAATCACTTGTAATCATCAGAGCACTAGAGCACTGTTATTCAAAGCCACAAATAATGATTTCCGAGGCAAATTACAAAAGCTCTGTGCTTAATTATGCTATCTCATCACTTAGTGGTGGAGTTCAGGGGGACCTTCAGATATTAATTCTGTCTCTTTATGGAGCTGATCATCTTTTAAAGAACTGTAAACTTCCACTTGGAAATCTCTACTTCCTGCACATGGGAGCAGACTTTTTTATAGTAAGAATATGGCGGAAAAAGGAAATATTGTTAAGCCAGATACTTAACAGTTAAGATGGTTAACTTCAAGGACACAGTGAGGCACTGCATTCTCAGCTGTGTATGTATTTACCTTGTCTTACACTTCAGTGGTAAAATTTTGGGGTAAAGGATTGCCCTGCAGTTTAGTCACGGTAGATTCCTGCAACTGTCTGTGGTTTCAAGACAATACGGAAACCCAGTATATGTTTTGAAGAGGTGATCTGTATCTACACACTTTGGATCTTACAGCTAGAGAATAACAGGACAGAGAACGGTAGCTAGTGGCATAAGGAAAAGTTCACGTGGCAGGTTTCTTTTTACTCTATTGGCGTTCAATAGCAATAGCAAAACATAGTTGAACCAAACTGCCATGTTGCTACAGTGACTTTTCCCCCAAACACAAAGCAGGAAGGAAATACATAACAGAAAAGAATGTTCTTATAGCCCAGCTGACCTTCTTGATTAACAGAAGTGTAAAGCATCATTTTTTTTTTCTGTCATGCACAATAGCGAAAGACATTTTTCATTTTTGATCATCATATTTTTTTAAGAGACTAAGTGTGACAGATTATATGTTGACAGTGCAGGAAAACAGAATCCCTTAATCGCAGAAAAATTACAACAGAACTTGTATGGGTTTATCTGACAATTTGGGATTCTAGTTGCAAATACACTGGCTTGTTCAGAAAGATTTACTGCAGGTCAAAAGCCCTGAGATTTATATAATTGAGACTTTGAGCTTTTACTGGAAGAAGGATTCTAGGTCAGTGAATCAGCTGAGTTGCACTAAAAAAGACTACATTTAGCATATTGCTACTCTTGTGTCTTTCCATCGTAATTTTATGTTAAAAAGACAGGCTTGTATGCGTGTAGCAAATAAAAACAAAATACCATTGAATTGCAGTTTAAGAAGTAGGGAAGAAAGGCTTCTGTGTCCTGTGTTTCGTTTCAAAATTTCTGGAAGGATACGTCATCAAATTGAATGTGTTGACGGGTGTTATAGGTACTCTGAGTTTGGATTATTAAATGGATTTCTCTGGCATAGCTATAATACTCATCCCTGTTGTCCTCCCATTACTTGTCTGTAAGCTTTGGGTGGTTGTCCTAAGGGGTGCTATGCAAAATCTACAGGAAGATTTAATGCAAATTTAAACTATAATGTAACTTAACTGCTTTAATTTCCAATTTGAAGGTGTAATGGTGGCTAGAGGACTTTTAGCAAATCCGGCTATGTTTGCAGGATACGAAGAGACACCTTTGAAGTGCATCCAGGACTGGGTTGACATTGCCCTTGAACATGGAACTCCTTTTACGTGTTTTCACCACCACTTAATGTACATGATGGAACGGATAACTTCAAAACAAGAAAAAAAAGTTTTTAATGTTTTATCAAGTACCTCAGCGGTACTAGATTATCTGAATGACCATTACGGTGTGTGATAACTGACAGTATTTAGTTCTATGTAAACTTGTATTTTGCAATTATCGATACATTGTTAAAGTTTTAACTGGGTTCCTACGTTTTAGTCGCATTCATATATTCGGTTATCAGCATTATTCTCATTGCATATTCACATATATATATCTCTGTAAGTATTTTCAACACAGCATAACATTATGATCAGGGTGATACTTTATATTTTTAGTATTTTTATGTCAGCATTTTTCACTCCAGAAAATATTCCAGATTCCACAAATGTGGAATTCTGTTTACAATGCACTACTACACAGAGGATTAATTATTGTAAGTCTCCAGTAATTTAATTTATTTTTTCACCAGTGTCATGGTTTAGCCCCAGTCAGCAACTAAGCCCCACACAGCCACTCACTCACCCTTCTCACCTGGTGCGATGGGGGAGAGAACCTGGAAAGCAAAAGTAAGAAAACCGGTGGGTTGAGATAAGAACAGTTTAATAATTGAAATAAAAATAATAATAATAAAAATTGTAATGAAAAGGAAAACAATGAGTGCGAGAGAGAGAGAGAGAGAGAGAAACAAAACCCAGGAAAAACAAGTGATGCAACCGCTCACCACCTGCCGACCGATGCCCAGCCAGTCCCTGAGCAGCGATCGCTGCCCCCCAGCCAACACCCCCACCCCAGTTTATATACTGAGCATGACGCCATGTGGTATGGAATAGCCCTTGGGACAGCTGTCCTGGCTGTGCCCCCTCCCAGCTTCTTGTGCACCTGGCAGAGCATGGGAAGCTGAAAAGACCTTGACTAGCATAAGCAGTACTTAGCAACAACTAAAACATCAGCGTGTTATCAACATTGTTCTCATACTAAATCCAAAATACAGCACTATGCCTGCTACTAGGAAGAAAATTAACTCTATCCCAGCCGAAACCAGGACAACCAGACAACTGCTTACAGCAATATGTTTGCAAAACTAGGGCCTTTCTTATGTGAAACCTCCTAAAATGAGGACTACTCATAAACAATACCAAGAATTTCAGACCAAAAGAACAGAAAGGGAACAACTGTAGAAGTTTTTGCTTTAACTGACACAGGCTGTACTTTTAAATCTGAGTAGATTTTTCGAGCTTAAAGATTGTGAGGCCTTGAAGCCCAGCATAGTATCCTCTTTTAAATTAGATGTTCCTTTTGCAGACTAAAACTTCGTAAACTTACAACTCAGAAAAATTCCACACTTCATATAGTCAAAGAAACCTGGAATAGATAAATGATGACAGAAAGAAGGAGAGAGTAAAATGAAGAGATAAACTAAGTACAAGCTTAGCTTAATCTAAAATAAAAGACTTGAAAGTTCAGTGTAACTAAATTCAGTTTTGTTTATCTACTGTATAAAAGATTAAATCCCCATCATCTAGCAAAACAGAACTTTATAGGTCAAAGAAAAGCTGACAGATTCTCTCAGTGGGGCTCCTGCAGTCCTTTCTGCCTGTTGGCATGTTGCTTACCAAAGCATGACAGCCACTTGGCTTTGAATCTTTGTACAGGAGGGAAATAGTGAAAATTAGAACAAGATAGTAACATTACACACCAGCTGCATTTGTTCTGCAAGGGAAATTTCACAAATCTCTGTTATTTGTAATCAAATAATTTGTTTTCTTTATATGTTTACACATTCATTCATACCAGAAATTGCTTAGTTTTCTGACTCTGATACTTCTATGAATATGCAAGTGAGCAGTTCTAATTTTTTTAAATAAATTACTTGGGTTTGTATACAATTGTAGGGGTTTTTTAATTACACTATAAACTGTGACAACCTGCTGGAGGGGATGTTTCTTTTGATGCCACTCCCCAAATCTTTTAATCGTTTCTATATCTAAATTCTCACAGTTCTTTTAATGCAATGGCATAAAAGATATGATCATTTTTCGTAGCGGATATGTTCCAATTTAGGCATACAAACAAAAGTTTGAAAGGCACGACCGTCAAGTCTAGTTCATTATTTAAGACAGCAAAGTTACGTAACTCTTCTGAAACAGTCACCTTCCTGATTTGTTAACAAATGGAAAACTACAGACACGCTTTGCTATCCTAGGTGAATTGAGACAATCTCTACAACCTTTTTCGGTGCAATAGGGTCTCCATTCCTTCAGACAACTATTTTTTTCACTCTGCTCGATTGTAATGTTTTCTTGACATAGGATGAGCACAATTATGTATAACATTCCAGGTAAAACCCCAGCAGTGTCTTCTGCAGTTAATACTTCTCTTTCTAATGCCTCACTTTTCCTCAACTAATATTCATCGTGTAATTTATGAGCTCCTAGTTTTACAGCAGAAGTTCTTATTTCCCAGCTGCATGACATTTTATTTCGTACTGCTGAATTTCCAGTCTCAAGCTCATCCAACTATAGTGCAATACTCAGTTCTGCTCAGTTCTGAAAATGCCTCCAGCCTTCTGCATCAAAATTGAAAAGTAAACGTATACAACTGAATTGTAGAAGAAAGGGATTCTTGAAAGTATTAACCAAGCCCTGTGTTAGCATTTTCTTGAGATTTTTATGATTTGGCAAGCAAATATTTGCTGTGAACTGTCCCATTAGCCACAAAGAGCAGAGAAGAAAAAGTTATTTATTATAATCAAATAACACAAATGCAAGGCGCCTTTTTTTTTTTTTTGGTAATAGCGGGGAAACTGCATTTTAGAGGACTTGAAATACCTTGACCTATTTAGGAACTGAATACTTAATGATTTTGAAGGCAGCAGTTGTTATGCCTGTGTGAGATCATAGAGATTTCTGCCTGAAGTACAAGACCTAGGTTGCTGTTAATATCATTAGTAATTAAGGAGTGCTTGATCTGGCCAATTATGCATCATAAAAGTCAACAGATGTTTATCATCCCTTTTTGAGGGTGAATGAATTGTATGCCTTCTTCCCTTGTGAATTTTGTATGCATCTGAACACACTTCACTGTGTTGACATAGAATAAACTGCAAAATTGGAGTCTTAAAGCCATACTCTGAACAGCCATAATGTTCAAATATACAGAAATTGCTAAAGATGGGAGTTAGTTATTTAACTTCTGGTGGTGTTTTAGAATATGGTCATATTTCTCATTATAAGCTATTTGAATATGGAATTCTTATCTCCAGTTTAAAGCCACTAGATATATTCCTTTCCTGTGTATGTTACTTGTAACATCATCAGGTACTCGGTCTTTCTATTTTCTGATTTTCAAATTTTTAAAAGTTATTCTGCAAGTAACATAACATACAAAACTTTGTTTCCTATTTTAGGTCCTCTGCCTCCCGTAACTGATCCAGCTCCTTATGTTAAGCCACCCTGCACAACAATGCCATATTTTCATAATTACCTGTACTTTCTGGCAACTTCTACCCTGCTGCAGTAACCCCAGCTCCCTCACACAGCCAGTACAATCCCATTTTCTCTGTTCCCTACTGTGAAGTTGTTTCTTAGGTCTCTTCTCTGTCTTTGGTTGATGGTTGGGCAAATGCAGTGTGTGATGATGAGACAGCTGTCATACAAGCCAAACTAGAATGGAACAAGTTGGAACTTTGTCTTCACCTTTCAGCAGAGAATTAGTCAGATTTCTGTCTTCTGACCAGCTGCTCATACACAGGCATTTCATATTTCCACTTCTGAATGCTTTGTCACCTTACTGGTAAGAGGGGAAGGTATTTCTTTTAACTATAATGTTTTACAGTTTGTGAGCTTTTTTCCTAAAGCAGCCGGCCATTATATATATTATATGGTGTCATATTTATCACACTGAGGTTCACTGTAAGATAGGCAGCCTTAGATCAACAACCCAGACTTCTACAACCTCAGTTCGAAGAATACCTTCCAGGAGTGGCAGAGTGCACTCAACGGGAGAGGGGAAGTCTCACAGCTGTTTGCAGGAGGCTTCTCTCTGTCCTGGCATCTCATTCCAGGTTGGAGGGGAACACGCAGCAGCTGCAGTGGAAGTGCACAGCAGTCGGTACAGAGTGAGTCTTCCTGAGATCTTACGAAGCCCCTGAAGCGAAAAAGCAGACTCGGAGTCTCTGGCAGCGGGGATGTGCAATTACAGTCCTATCAGTCTGAGGCTAGGCTACTGGGAGGGCAGCTTACATTGCTAGTAAGAGGTGAGTAAACAGCTCAGAAATGGAGACTGCTCTGGAATTAAAGGAGAGAAAGGCTTTAATAACATTTTAACAGCTTCAATAAAGAATAATGGCTGTAGGCCAACAGCTAAAATGTAATAACCAGGACACACTAAGAGGTTATGTTTTGTCTTTGCTTCTGATTAAATATGTTTACGAAAACATGTTAGAAATACTTCTTAAAACCCAGGCTGTTTCCACTGTGTAGATTGGATCGAAATGGCTGGTTGTATCTCTCTCCAATATTTGTTATGCATAAACAATTATTTGGGATGTAACCTTTCATCCAGACATTGCTTGGCAGCAGCTAGGAAAATGTTAACACGCTGGCTCCATCCCCAGGCCACAGACCTGGTAAATTTTAAGTACAAACAATTTCAGACTGTGCAGCTGCAAACAACTCTGCTCAAAACTGTTTATGCAAGAACTTCCTACCCCATTTCACTGCCGGTGGATTAGAGCAACAAAGAACTACTATTTACAGCATTTATTTTGATGGAAATTAATTGGGACAGAATTCCCAAAAGCAGGTAGCTGTGGCGGTGGTGATGCCCAGCTAGACAAGGTAACCTCTTCCACCAGCAGCACCTCAGGATCTGTTAGGGCTGCAGGCAAGTCAGTAAGCTGCTGAGCCGGCCCTGGCCTGAGCTAACTGAACAGGGGGCGGAAAACTCCTGGATTTGACATGTGAAATTGCTGAACATGACACGCAACAGTGTGAGAAGCTGCAGATAGCACTGGGATGGATGGATGGATTTCACCGGTGGTTAAGGGGGAGTTACGTGCAAAACAACTGAACTACTCGTAACTGGAGAGTAGTTTTGAGGGTCCTTTAAGAACTAGAAACTTGCAGGGC